AGAGAGGAGATTTGAATTTAACTTCCGTCACAATAGACACCAGTGTTCTCGAAGTAGGACATAGCTACATTTTGCAGTTAACTCTTTGGAAAGATGTAAGAAGCTCATCTGCTGAAATGACTTTTGAGATAACATCTGGAGATGTACCCAGAGTAATTCTTAGGTAAGTGGGCCGTTTCATACTTTATACTATTACATGAGAAATTTCTGCAATTTGATTGGCTTAGAGCAGTGGTATTTCAGCTTAATTTGAAATACCTACATGTGAAAATTACAAATCTTGTGTGGGTAGTAGTATAAACAAATAATAGGATGATTTCTAGTGGTATTTGGCATAAATACTACTCATGATATTTCAGAATTGTCTTAAATTTCACTCGCCTAACGGCTCGTGAAATAGAGTATAACAATTTCGAAATATCACTCGTGGTATTTATGGCAAATGTCTCTACAAATCTTGCTATTACCTATACTAATATGGTTAATTTTATTATGAAGAAATAATATCCATAACTTTTTCACAACCTCCAAACCGGACCATTTAATTTTTGTAAGTGTCTCAACTACGATTTATCTGAGGCAACTCTCCTGAATCCTAAATACCACACAAAATATAAGAAATATGTCATCTGAGCTGTCCAAAGAAGTAACGCCCTAGACTTAACTACGTCAAATTACAACAAGATTCGATTGCTAATTTTCTATGTTTATCATTTACCTTAGGTGCTTTGTTGATTGTGGTGCGATTGTATCTTCTTCCAACAAATTTCGAGTAACATCAGAATGCCCCAACTCTGCATGCGTCGGCGCAACCTACGAATGGGTTCTGGAAAGGTTTGACACGGAAAGCTGGCAGACTCTGTCTAATGTGGCTGACATCACAGCTACGCCAATTAACGCTTCAAACTTTATAATTAAACAAAACATGCTTCTTTCTAATACACAGTACCGACTGAAATTGAATGTGATATCTCTAATGAAAGTAGAGGGTTATGGATTGCTTGAGTTTGAAACGGCTGGCGAGCCTCACGGTGGTTTGTGCAAATCGTTAGTCATAGAAGGCGTGTCATTGGAGACAGAATTTATGTTTGAGTGCATTGACTGGACGGACAGAAGTACACCATTAACTTATGAATTTCGAAATGGTGACGATCCAATTTCCTACGGTATTTCCCCAGTTTCTCCGAAAACAGTATTGCCTGCAGGAGATCCTGAAAACAACTATAAGATAACAATTAATGTTGTCATTAAAAATGCAGTTGGGGTGAAAGTGGTTTACTCGTTTGAAATAAAGGTGAGATAAGAAATATTTTAAGATATCTGTATTGATAGAGTTTGATGTAGCTTAAACCACTAGTGTCGCATATTCCATCTGCCTAAAACGGCCAATGTCGATCGGGACGACAATCGACTTTAACAGGGTTGAACGATCAATAGCCTCACTGTCGACATTAATACTATGCATTAGAAACATATGAATAAGCAATGAAGTGAAATATAACACTTTGATGCTGCATTGTTGACTTCAGCCAGATTCCGATACCAAAAATATTTAAACTCATAATAGTGAACACTTACATGTAACTTCTACTGCACATGTAATGTCTATCTCTTTGCATTTCAATTTGAGGCATTGAAATTGGATTACAGTCTTAACTGTGATGGATTTGAAACTTAGAACTTATATATAAGTCTTGACTGATTTTTCCAGGTCACTCCGTCTTCAAAACTTGATCCTTGCCAATCCTCATTGGAACAAGTGACCAGCGAATTAGAAGACTTACTTCTCGGGCCTGAAAATGAAGTTGACGAATTTCTATTAAAAGGCGAGATAAGTCAGGCCGCGCAGCTTTCGTTATCGGTCCTGGCCTCAGCTAAAGAAAAAACAGAGTGTGGACAAAACGTTCCTACTGATATTCAGTACCAGGTGAGAAAAGTGAATCAATATAGTTAATTATAAGCTTCAAGAAACTTCTTATCCATAGTCAGTGTTCCCATAAAAACTCTCGCGTTCCTTTTCATGCGTCATGAAAAAAGGAATGTCTAGTAGCCGGAGGTAATTGTTGGCTTCACATTAGAAGCCAAGCTTGTTTTTCAAGTAAACACTCGATTCAAGTCTCAAAAACATGACTTCACACTTCTCGACAAAGTATATTGCTTGAAGTATTAAAAAGCTGTCAAACTCTCCGTTCTTTAGAATCTTGGAACCGCTGCACGCACACATCGTGCAATGGCTTCCACTTCTTATTGGCCAGGTGTGTTCTAAAGTGTGGGGTAGACCATAGGAACGTTTCCATGCCCACCAAGTCAAGTTGTAGCGAATAGGTAATTTTACCCATTTACACTCAAAGCAGGTTCCAAGTACACTTACATTATACTTGAAGCTCTAGTGTGAAGCTAACCAGTATTCCGATTCTTGTGGAATCTAGAAAAGTTTCCGCTTTGCTTGATTCTTCGATGTACTGACCCAGCTTTCTTTAGTGTTTCAACCAAGTGTTATGATATTCTTTCCAGATAATGTGTGCTATTGTAACAAGGTTTACAGCGATACCTCCTGAGAGCCTACAAATGTCTCTCCTGTTTGGCTCAGTTGTAAAGGCAGCAACGGAAGACAGTCAGCTTAAATGTGATGGATTCGATGTTTTGGTAAGTTTTAAACGAAGAAAAAAATCTTGTCGTAATAAAGTCTATTTCTATAATTTTGAATATCATTTTCCATGGCCGCTGGTTCTCTCTTGTCTCTCCTTCCATGTAAGGCTGATCCGTATACCATTATGTAAATATTTCCAATAAAACCTTAATATCTAAACTTAGAGTGCATGCTGGATGTAAGATTGCATGATGCATACTCTTCTCCAACATAACTATAAAAAGTTGTGACATTTAATGCATCTCGCTCTTTTAGGAGTCAACGAGGAAATTAACAAATTACATAAGCTTGCTCCTAGCATCATCTCTCGCAGATGTGGAGGAACCGTTCTCAGATGAGATTCAGGATGCCGCTGCAACGACAACAGAACTTTTGGGAAATGTTCTTAAATCAGCATCTTCTACCGATAACACTGGAGTGGAGAGTAACGTCTCACAATCCAAGGTGAGAAAGTGATACGCAAAGTAATCACTGATCCCAGCATCTGACAACCGAATGGTTAACCATTTGCGTTGGTACCCGACATTAGATTGGTTGACCGGGATTTGATTCCTGTCCAACCAATTTTCGGCGTCCTCGTAACAATTGAGGAGAAGGCGTTGCTTTAGTTTAGACGGCAAATAGTTAGAATTCCCTTTTAGTCCTTTCGGGTAAGGACGGAAATCCGCAAGTCCCTTCTTTCTGCACTTTCACTTTACATGAAAGGAATGACTATGGCCAAAGAGACTCTCTGGCAGTGACAACCGCTAGTTTTACCTGTTTTTGTCCTTCAGTTGGAACACTGTAGGGGATGATCTCATTAAGTGGTAGCCCTTTTGCCCACCTTCAGGAGCCGTAATAATTGCAAATTGGGTATGACTGTGAGAGGAAGTATGAAGGATGCATTACAGAATAAGGTTGTACTTGGCCTGTCTCACCACCCAGCTTTGGTTTGTCCCATACTCGCGACGAGTATGGGAACGACCTCCTTTCATGACATTCACTCGCTAATACTTACTAGTAATCCAAACGCGAAAATAATTACTAGTTTGATGATACAGAAAACACATGGGCATAAGCAATAGATAATACTGGGACAAAGAGGGAACAGAAGTCTAATTACTGGGACGTCCGTACATTGTAATAAATAGTTTGAAACGTCATCAAGTCCACGCGCTAATGCCTCGAAGCACACAATGCAGAATATTGCGCTGGCGACTGTTAAATTCTCTCTTGACGACACTAAATTAAAGTTTGCCGACCTTCCTGGAAACCAACTTCTGATTAACTTAGCGTTTAAATGGTCTAAAAATAACTCTGGTGAAATTTCCATACACCAATGGCTAGGCTGGGCATTCCATCTCTGTGTCCCATTGTTCTTGGCATAAGTTCATTATTTTTTGCCATGGCAATAGAGCTTTCCCGTGCATCACAGCTTGAAGAAAACTTAAAAAACCGCGGTAAACGTTTATGGTGATGTGTTGAAGCCTTTTTTATAAATTTTGATGCTTACTAGGAAATTATTTGGGGGGGAGGGTTGTTGTCCGATTTACAGTCGTTGGGCCTTACAAAATCCTACACTGCAGGTGTCACTAGCAAGACGTTCGTTGTTCTTGTCATTGTTGTCCCTTCAAAGATTTACTAGCAGAGAAAAGTTATATTCCGTCCAGTATTATTTTATCATTGGCAACACAATACCCAATTCTGTACCTTACACTGACTCCTAGGCTGACGCAGAGGACGCTCTACAACAAATTAATGACATCGTCGACTCCATCTCATCTCGGTTAGTAATATCTGAAAGACTGGACATAAAGAAGAACGACTTATCGATTTCACTGAGAAAGGTTGATTCAGATCACCTCAATGGGCTTAGTTTAGAAGAAGGACTTACACAGTTTGCATTTCCGAGTAATCTAAACCTTAGTGCTGACGGCGAAGTAAATGCCAAGGTAAAGAAAATAAAACTATAATCTTTTATAATTATGATAACATTGGTTTACAAGTAAATTCCATTTTGTACCGTGTCTGTTCTTTTCCGCGGCGCTAAAATGTGGTAGGAACAATTGTAAGAATGACATCTGTAATTGATTCCACAAATCCCTAAAAACCATGGTAGTAAACCGTGACTTTAAATGGGCGTACCACATTGCTAAAGCATATAGTATAAGTGAAGTTTTACAGGTACAATTTATTTACCAAAGGTCAGGCTATCGAAGATGCTAACTATGCTGCGCGTTGTAAAACGTTTTTGCGGTGGACATCGCTTAAAGGCACTTAGTTTTTTAAGCCAAAGTAAAAAAGTTAAAACTATTTCTTAAGCCAACCTTTCGAACGTATCGACGTAAGCGAAAGAACCACATATTTTCAACGTAAATGTTATGGTTCAAATTCAACCAATCACGTTAAAAGACGGTTAAATTAAATTATTTCCAATATTTTCTTTTAGATGATGACTTTTAATTTCAACCCATTTCCTGGGGACTCAAGTGGTGCAGCTATCACATCTAGCGTTTGTAGCCTGGAACTTTCAAGTAGCGGAAATGGGACGTTAAACGTATCGGATCTCGATGAAGACATTGAGATTGATATCCCTCTTAATCCTAGTAACGGAGAATCCGCTGAGCCAACCGGTTCTTTTCTCACCCCGAACAAGTTGACCATCCACAGCTACTTCGCTGAGCTAGCTAACGTCCCTTTGTCGCTGTTCCTCGCAGGACAAGATCAAGATGCTGTAGTAGAGGTGCTAATAAAATATGGATCAAGGCCATCGTTGGATGACTTTGATGAAAACTTCACTATCCCTTTAACCTCATGTCAAAGTAATGCAACCGCGATAAATGAAAACCAAACAGGCTGCGGCTCTCAATTACAGACAACGATTACGGTTACCCCTCCAGAGCAAAGTTTAATTTACGTGGGAATCTTGACATTTGGCGAGAAAAATGTCACTGAGCACTCCAGAAAAAGACGGTCCTGTTTTGGAGGAGGTAGACAAAAACGATCGTGTATTGGTGTTAAGGATCCGCCCCTAGAAGGCTTTAACAAGTCTGTCATTCCAAAGTATGATCCATTGACAGATGTAAATTACACTTTGACAATGAGCCAAGCAAATTGTTTGTACTGGTCTACTACGATGGAAAAGTGGACGTCCGATGGATGTAAGGTAAGCTATCGTCGAGATATCGATAAAGCATGGTTTATTGAGGATAAAGAGCATCAAATCCTTATTAGGCAATAGAGCGTTTTAACATGACGTCACGGCCGCTATTTTGGTGATTCAAAACAATGAAACGGCGGCCGTGTCGGTGTTGCAAACCATTCCTGTGGGAGTTCAACTCTTTCTTTTATGTAAACGCTTTTTTAGTGTATAGATGCTGGTCACGTGGGTTAAAACACTCTGTAAGTCCAAATGGAAACCCTTACAGTTTTGATGGATGGTTAGTCACTCTGAAATTTATATGAATCCTATTCCTTGGAGATTAGTCTACCATCACAAATTAAACAACACGTGGGTTAAAGTTATCATTCTATTGGGTCCTTATTTGGTCTTTCGTGCCTTAGGTTGGCCTTGGCTCTGACAAAAAGAAGCTGAAGTGCCTTTGCAATCATTTAACAGCGTTCGGAGGAAACTTTATACAGGCGCCAAATCCCATAGATTTCGACAAAGTGTTCGTGGAATTTACAAGACTAGGAGAAACTGGAAACGTAGCCGTGTTGATAACGATATGTGTCGTGTTCCTCCTTTATTTTGTGGTAACTGTCTTTGCAAGACGAGTGGACAAACGTGACGAAAATAAGGTATGAAAATAGCTCCGATCCATAAGAAATAAATGACATGCTCTAGAAATATCTAGTGCAAGAAGTAATTTAAAATTTCCAAACTAGCGTTTACTTTACCAACAATCGGCGACAAAATGAGTTGAGACACTTCGCCCAAAAGTAGGCTTTTTTACGATTTATGAACTTCAAAAGAAGGAAATATAGCTTTCCTCCCCCATCCCGTCTATACAATGTTGAGCCCTTGTTCTAGCTACCTATAGCAAACAACAAACACCCCAACTTTGAGGGGTGCGGATTCTTTTGTTCTCCGTAGTCACCCTATTTAAGTACAATTTCTCAACAATTTTGTCGCCGATTGAAGATACTTCAAAAACAATTAGTAAATATATATAGCTCGAAGAGGCAGCGTGGCGTCGCACTCGCAATCCTGCAGTCCCGGATTCGGGTCCCGCTCCGACCACAAGCTGGTTTTGTTTCTCTTGAGCGTAGGGGATCAGGAACGAGATTGGTTAATAGCCTGGATATAGCGAAATACCGACCCAAAAACTGGCATCTTGAGCATAACCCTTTCAGTACCCGAGATAGGCGTTGTATACTAAAAGGTCCAAGAAGCTAAGGTCGTAGTAGGTCCTTTGAACGTTACTTTTTTTATGACAAAATATTACAACTTCAATCAAAGTAGAATTACGAACTTCCAAATAAGGACATCTGCTGTCAAGTGTAACCAACAGATATGCTCCAAATATGGGGTCTATCTTGTATGCCTTCTCTTCTGATGCTTCTCATAAAAAGTAAGACTTGGACTGGAAAAAAAATATTCAAAGAAGCGGCTAAAAAAAGACGTCTCAAGATTGGCCTGGACTGGACTGGGTAGGGGTATCAATATACCCCTAGCGTTCCAATAAGTGACTACAATGGAACCTGTGAAAGGAAAAAATACTAGTGAGGGTTCTAAAATTTATTTATTGGCCATGTGAAAATAGGATGGGTAAATAAATTAATTAACCCGGAAAAACGTACCTTTGGCCAATCTTTTAAAAACCTGAAAATAATCATTGAAAAACCAATGAAAGACCTTCGTTATGTGGTTGGTAAGAAAGCATTGTGACATAACATTTATCTGGCTATCCACAACATGTAAATCATTCTGATATTCTATTTTGCGACGTTTTCGTCCCTTAGATTACCCCTCCGAGGACCGTAGTAGTTAATGAAGGCGGAAGCTATGTCTACGAAATGGTGATACGTACAGGTGTTTGGAAAGATTCAGGTTCTACTGCGAACATATCACTTTGTATAGACGGCAAGATGGACGAAAGCAAGGAAATCCATTTGCGACGTAGGGGAGAAAAGCCTGAACTATTTTCCCGTGGTGGTGTTGACGGTTTTGTGCTAACAACCAGTAACACTTACGGACCCCTGAAGGCAATAACGTTATCTCATGATAACTCTGGCAACGATCCATCGTGGTTTCTTGAAACGTTGATCATAAAGGATAAACAAACTGGGGAAGTGTGGAATTTCTTAGTGAATAGGTGGCTTGCTGTTGAAAAGGGTGATGGTCAAATACAAGTTACAGTGCCATGTTTCAACACAAGTGATTTTGGATTCTCAGATCAGGTGCGATCGATGGCCCCTCGAATTTTAGCCGATAGTCATATTTGGTTGTCAGTTGTTGGCAAAGCATCGAGCAGCACATTCACACGAGTGCAAAGAGTGTCTTGTTGCCTTTCCGTTCTTTTTACTGCCATGATCGCAAACGCCATGTTCTACAATATTGGCGGGGAATCACTAGCGGCAATTCGGGTTGGACCATTTAAGTTCTCGTGGCAGCAGATCGTCATAGGAGTTCAAAGCGGAGTGATTGTTGCGCCAGTGAACATCCTGATTGTACTACTCTTTCGCTTGAGCAGGCCAAGGCAGCGGAGAGATGATAAATACAAAACTGGCACGGATTCATTTCATCTTATTGAGGAGGCGAGGAAATCGAGGTTTACACTGCCCCACTGCTTCATCTACATCGGATGGTTCCTTTGTATCACCACGACACTAACAAGTGCCGCTTTCACGCTTTTTTACAGCCTTATGTGGGGAAAAGAGCTTGCCGAGCAATGGCTTGCATCCATAATGACTTCTCTAGCTGAGGATATATTCGCTGCGCAGCCAATGAAAGTGTTACTAGTTGCTTGTGTAATATCCTTGTTGACAATCCGACGAAAAAAGGGGTGTAACGCTGCAGTTAGAGATGCAGAAACCTATGGACAAATGAGCGATGGCGAGTTCGATGATGATCCAAAGAAAACGTTGAGACGTTATGAACTTTCAAAGATGCGCGACAACAAGAAAAAGGACGTGAAACTACTAGGAATGATGAGACAAATAATTCTGCATACCTTATTCGTATTCCTCATGGCCATCACTTGCTATGGGAACAAAAACAACAACCGCTTCCTAATGACAGCAGCGGTGAAGCAACCGTTTCTAAAGTTTGACAAGGTAATTGCCTTTTCTTTCCGAGAGAAAGCCAATGATTCACAATTTACAGAATTACATTAGCAACTAGAGGTAACAGGTACACCCTGACAAGTACTAATCAGATCATAGGTTCTACTCCTATGGGGAATACTTTTGGATTTTTCCTTCCGAAACGCCTTTGTCAGTGACTGAAAAATTATCGTTCTCATGTTTTCACCTGATGCTAAACATTAAGCAAAAAAACATATATATGTAAGCCATGGCTTAAAATCGTTGTTAAAAGTAAAATATCGCTAGAATGTCAAAGCGACGAGGGTGGATAAGAGTTCACGCTTTTTTCTCCATGTACAAGCCAAAGGGAAGCGGAAATTGAACTAATTACTATCCATGACTTTATTCTAGTATCTGGTGGTGGCATATAAAACAGGACTTTGAATGGAGCATCCCACATTGTTCCCCCTAGTTCAAAATAACAGTAGCGAAAGTGAATAGAAATTTTTTTATATAGGTCAACGTTACGTAACAAAATTATCACAATCTATTTCTTTTTCAACAGGTCACACATCCGGACGTACTGAGGGGATGGATGGATCAATTTTTCATACCAAACCTCTATGCAGGGTTCTGGTACAATAACCAAAAAGAGATTATGGAGGTTTACATACACAATAAAAAGTCTATTTTGCTGGGAATGCCACGAATGAGACAAGTTAGAATTAAGAGGAGTGAGTTCGAGTTTACTGTAAATAGAAAGATGAAGACCATATTCACTACAATTAGCCTAAGAGGGACAAAAAGCAATGCCACCGGATGAACGACGGGGCGCTTTAAAAAAAACGTATTAAAGGAACATAAAGAGAACCTTGCTGTTGATCTCTTGACATGGGGAAAATAAAGTGCTAGCCCCTTCTTTTGCTTTGTCAGGAAAATTCTAATTATATCAGAAGGCGAAATATTTAGGAACCTCCATCTCCCTTAAATCGGCTTTTCCTGAGCACTTGTAAATGACCTTCACGCACACCCGACTTTTTTTAGGGATTTCTTATAAGGATTATTAATTATTTATATTTTTCTTTAGTTGATTTTTTGACTTTTTTCTTTGAAGGCACTTGTGGAGTTCTTAGTTTCATCAACCCGCACTGCTATTATGACTACACTTTCGAAAACGAAGACAAAACCTTCATGAGTCTTCCGGGATGGAAAGAACTGCCTGTAAATACGACATGGCCTGATTCACTTAAGATGTGTCCACGACCATGGCGATACCAGAGTCCAGAACATCTTGGGAATGCTCTACCGACATGGGGAACTTTCAAGCTGTATAGTGGGGGTGGATACATAGCTGCCATGGGATATAACGAAGAAACTGCAGGTGGGGTAGTCAATGAATTACATGCTGAGGGATGGATTGATCAACAAACCAGACTTGTAGTTATTGAATTCACGGTTTTCAACATCAACACAAACCTAGTCAGCATCGCTTCTTTCTTCTATGAGGTTCTAGCTACTGGGGCTGCGTACACAACCAAGAAAGTGGAAACACTGGAGCTGTATAGTACAGAATCAGGCGCTCGAGAATTTTATCTCATTTGCCAGTTTCTCTTCATGTCTATGACACTTTATTACTTCGTCTTGCTCCTGGTTAATCTTTTTCGCCAACGAATCAGCTTTTTTAAATCCATATGGAATTTAGTTGAATTTTTGCAAGTTGTTTCTTCTGTGACAACAGTAACATTCTACATGCTCAAAGCTAAAAGTATTTTAAGAAGTGTTAAAGCAATACAGTCTAATCCCTACGCAATCATTAACTTTCACACTGCACTGTCTTGGGCTGAGTGGGAAAATGCATCTATTGCTGTCGCCGTATTCATGGCAACGTTAAAGTTTCTCAATCTTCTTCGGGTTAACCCCCACGTCATATTTTTATTTTCATCTTTTCGCCAATCTGTTGGTCACCAATTATCCTTTATGTTCATTCTCCTGTTAATCTTCAATTCCTTTGCCATGTCAGGAATACTGATTTTTGGTGGGTCCATGTACGTGTATTCTAGTTATTTAAGAGCCACAGTAGGCCAATTTGAATTTCTGTTAGGTAAAGCAGTGCCGGTAGAAGGTCTTCGAGCTGAAAATAGAATTATCGGTCCCATATTTGCCCTGTTTTATGTGCTAACTTTGACCATTTTCCTCATGAACATGTTCATCTCTATGCTCAATGACGCGTACTCTGGTGCAAAGACAAATGTCGAAGATAGCGCTGAAGATCTGGAACTCTCACACCATCTTGAAGAGCGTTTGTTAGAACTTATGGGGGAAAGGAGAGGCGGACGTGATCTTACAAAGTTGTTCTGTGACGAAGCAATTTTCGTGAACATGTTGAGCTCCGAAGCAGAGCCATTCTGCAAGAATACTGAACGAATTCTTCAGTGCACATATGAGCGATTGATTAAAGTAGATCAGCGAATTGCCAAGCTTATTCGAATGACTGAGACGGAAGAAAACGGTCAGCTTGAGGAAGACCGTGAGCTTATTACCCTCATAAGTAAAATTATCTTCATTCCCCAAACTTGTGAGACTCAGGCTCAGGTTGCCTTTATGTACTAGAGAACTTAATTAGAGAGCAATTAAGAATAAAGGGCAAGAGAGGTGTCAGTTATGCACAATGAAGGAGCTTAGCTGAAACATTAATGGAATAATAAAGACCTCGTTGCATAAGTCTCCAATGCGAAATTGTTCTCGTGTTGAATAAGTCTTTAATCCTACACTTACAGACGGTTTGTTTGTGCAATGTTGATTTTGCTGTACCTTTTATTTCTAGCTAACAAAAAGTATGAGCGTAGATGATCGAGATATGTAGCCTTAGTCTAAAAACACCTATTTTCTATCTCAAAAATCATTACTTGAAAACCTTATTTCTAAGCCTATTTGCACTAAACCATAATTTACCAAATTGTACGATTGTGGGACCTTTTAAGAAAGCTATTTATTATAGCCAAAGAAACGCCTATTTTCTATCTAGGACATCAAAAGACCTTATTTTGAACCCATTTTGCTCTAAAACATAAGGCGGAAAAGCTGTTTTTCTATCAAGAATGTCGCCAAACATTCTTTTTTACCAATTTGGCCAAGAAAAGTAAAGGTGAAGAAATTTCACATTTTAGACGGAGATCATGGACTTACACCTTTGCAAAAATGCAAATTTTGAAACTTTTTAATATGAACGTTTTTGTACTCTAGATAGGCTATTCTTCTATCTTTCTCTATGTTCAACTTTGAAGCCATCCTACAAAAACATTGATATTAGGAAAGTTGCACAATTTGCTTTTTTACAACACGGTTATTCCATGATTTTGGTCACAAATTTCAAGCTTCCTCACCTTGACTTTTCTTATTCATAATCAAATTGATAAAAAAAAGTGTTTAGCGACATTCTTGAAAGAAAAAACATTTCCATGACTACAAAAAAAGCAGATATTAGAAAGCTGAAAAATTTGCATTTTTTTCCAACAAAGGTTATAGTCCATGAATTTCGTCAAAAATTTTTACGTTTCTTCACTTTAAATTTTCTCTTTTAAATTGATCAAAAAGAGTCTTTAGTGACCTTCATGACAAAAAAAATGCTACTCTAGATTTAAAAAACGTGATATTTCAAAGCTGAAATTTTTTTTATTTTCTGAAGGGGTTAGCCCATAAATTTGGTTACCTTGTTTTTTCTCGTTAAAATTGATCAAAAAGAGTACTTGGCGACATTCAGGTGCTAGTCCATGATTTTAGCCAAAAATCTGAAGATTCATAAACTTCACTGTTCTTGGCCTAAATTGACGGGAAAAAGTGTTTACGACGTTTGTTGATAAAAATAACAGCATTTTATTAGCAAGCCGAAAATCTTTATTTTTTGCAAAGTGGTAGGTCTATCATTTTCGTTGAAAATTTGGCATTGAATTCCTATCACTTTTCTCGGCCAAATACATTAAAAGGAGTGTTTGGCGACCTTTTTTATGGAAAAATAGCTTTCCTAGAATACAAAAACATTGATATTAGCAAGTTGCAAAATTTCCATTTTTTGTAAAGGGGTTAGTCAATAATTTTGGTCAATCATTTCAAGTTTCCTCACCTTGTTTTTTCTAGTGCGAATTGAACAAACAGAATGTTTACCGACATTCTTGACACAAAAAACCTTTCCTAGACTACAAACGTTGCTATTTGAAACCTGAAAACCTGATTGAGGAGGCGAGGAAATCGAGGTTTACACTGCCCCACTGCTTCATCTACATCGGATGGTTCCTTTGTATCACCACGACACTAACAAGTGCCGCTTTCACGCTTTTTTACAGCCTCATGTGGGGAAAAGAGCTGGCCGAGCAATGGCTTGCATCCATAATGACTTCTCTAGCTGAGGACATTTTCGCTGCGCAGCCAATGGAAGTGTTACTAGTTGCTTGTGTAATATCGTTGTTGGCAATCCGAAGAAAAAAGGGGTATAACGCTCCAGTTGGAGATGCAGAAGCCTATGGACAAATGAGCGATAGCGAGTTCGATGATGATCCAAAGAAAACGTTGAGACGTTATGAACTTTCAAAGATGCGCGAGAACAAGAAAAAGGACGTGAAACTACTAGGAATGATGAGACAAATAATTCTGCATACCTTATTCGTATTCCTCATGGCCATCACTTGCTATGGGAACAAAAACAACAACCGCTTCCTGATGACAGCAGCAGTGAAGCAACCGTTTCTAAAATTTGACAAGGTAATTGCCTTTTCTTTCAGAGAGAAAGCTAATAATGCACAATTTACAGAATTACATTAGCAACTAGAGGTAACAGGTACACCCTGACCAGTACTAATCAGAAGATCATAGGTTCTACTCCTATGGGGAATACTTGGATTTTTCCTTCCGAACCACTTCTGTCAGTGACTGAAAAATCATCGTTCTCATGTTTTCACCTGATGCTAAACATTAAGCAAAAAAAACATATATATGTAAGCCATGGCTTAAAATCGTTGTTAAAAGTAAAATATCGCTAAGAATGTCAAAGCGACAAGGGTGGATAAGAGTTCACGCTTTTTTCTCCATGTACAAGCCAAAGGGAAGCGAAAATTGAACTAATTACTATCCATGACTTTAGTCTAGTATCTGGTGGTGGCATATAAAACAGGACTTTGAATGGAGCATCCCACATTGTTTTCCCTAGTTCAAAATAACAGTAGCGAAAGTGAATAAAATTTTTTTTATATAGGTCAACGTTACGTGACAAAATTATCACAATCTATTGCTTTTTCAACAGGTCACACATCCGGACGTACTGAGGGGATGGATGGATCAATTTTTCATACCAAACCTCTACGCAGGGTTCTGGTACAATAACCAAAAAGAGATTATGGAGGTTTACATACACAATAAAAAGTCTATTTTGCTGGGAATGCCACGAATGAGACAAGTTAGAATTAAGAGGAGTGAGTTCGAGTTTACTGTAAATAGAAAGATGAAGACCATATTAACTATAATTAGCCTAAAGGGACAAAAAACAATGCCACCGGATGAACGACCGAGCGCTTTAAAAAAACGTATTAAAGGAACATAAGGAACATAGAATTAAGAGGAGTGAGTTCGAGTTTACTGTAAATAGAAAGATGAAGACCATATTAACTATAATTAGCCTAAAGGGACAAAAAACAATGCCACCGGATGAACGACCGAGCGCTTTAAAAAAACGTATTAAAGGAACATAAAGGGAACCTTTCAGTTGATCTGTTGACATGGCGAAAATAAAGTGCTGGCCTCTTCTTTTGCTTTGTCAGGAAAATTCTAATTATATCAGAGGGCGAAAAATTTAGAAACCGCCATCTCGCCTAAATCGGCTTTTTAAGAACACTTGTAAATAACCTTCACGCACAGCCGACTTTCTTAGTGACTTCTTATAGGGATTATTAATTGTTTATATTTTTCTTTAGTTGACTTTTTGACTTTTTTTTGAAGGCACTTGTGGAGTTCTTAGTTTCATCAACCCGCACTGCTATTATGACTACACTTTCGAAAACGAAGACAAAACCTTCATGAGTCTTCCGGGATGGAAAGAACTGCCTGTAAATACGACATGGCCTGATTCACTTAAGATGTGTCCACGACCATGGCGCTACCAGAGCCCAGAACATCTTGGGAATGCTCTACCGACATGGGGAACTTTCAAGCCGTATAGTGGGGGCGGATACATAGCTGCCATGGGATATAACGAGGAAACGGCAGTTGGGGTAATCAATGAATTACATGGTGAGGGATGGATTGACCAACAAACCAGACTTGTAGTCATTGAATTCACGGTTTTCAACATCAACACAAACCTAGTCAGCATCGCTTCTTTCTTCTATGAGGTTCTAGCTACTGGGGCTGCGTACACAACCAAGAAAGTGGAAACACTGGAGCTGTATAGTACAGAATCAGGCGCTCGAGAATTTTATCTCATTTGCCAGTTTCTCTTCATGTCTACGACACTTTATTACTTCGTATTGCTCCTGGTTAATCTTTTTCGCCAACGAATCAGCTTTTTTAAATCCATATGGAATTTAGTTGAATTTTTGCAAGTTGTTTCTTCTGTGACAACAGTAACATTCTACATGCTCAAAGCTAAAAGTATTTTAAGAAGTGTTAAAGCAATACAGTCTAATCCCTACGCAATCATTAACTTTCACACTGCACTGTCTTGGGCTGAGTGGGAAAATGCATCTATTGCTGTCGCCGTATTCATGGCAACGTTAAAGTTTCTCAATCTTCTTCGGGTTAACCCCCACGTCATATTTTTATTTTCATCTTTTCGCCAATCTGTTGGTCATCAATTATCCTTTATGTTCATTCTCCTGTTAATCTTCAATTCCTTTGCCATGTCAGGAATACTGATTTTTGGTGGGTCCATGTACGTGTATTCTAGTTATTTAAGAGCCACAGTAGGCCAATTTGAATTTCTGTTAGGTAAAGCAGTGCCGGTAGAAGGTCTTCGAGCTGAAAATAGAATTATGGGTCCCATATTTGCCCTGTTTTATGTGCTAACTTTGACCATTTTCCTCATGAACATGTTCATCTCTATGCTCAATGACGCGTACTCTGGTGCAAAGACAAATGTCGAAGATAGCGCTGAAGATCTGGAACTCTCACACCATCTTGAAGAGCGTTTGTTAGAACTTATGGGGGAAAGGAGAGGCGGACGTGATCTTACAAAGTTGTTCTGTGACGAAGCAATTTTCGTGAACATGTTCAGCTCCGAAGCAGAGCCATTCTGCAAGAATACTGAACGAATTCTTCAGTGCACATATGAGCGATTGATTAAAGTAGATCAGCGAATTGCCAAGCTTATTCGAATGACTGAGACGGAAGAAAACGGTCAGCTTGAGGAAGACCGTGAGCTTATTACCCTCATAAGTAAAATTATCTTCATTCCCCAAAATTGTGAGACTCAGGCTCAGGTTGCCTTTATGTACTAGAGAACTTAATTAGAGAGCAATTAAGAATAAAGGGCAAGAGAGGTGTCAGTTATGCACAAAGAAGGAGCTTAGCTGAAACATTAATGGAATAATAAAGACCTCGTTGCATAAGTCTCCAATGCGAAATTGTTCTCGTGTTGAATAAGTCTTTAATCCTACACTTACAGACGGTTTGTTTGTGCAATGTTGATTTTGCTGTACCTTTTATTTCTAGCTAACAAAAAGTATGAGCGTAGATGATCGAGATATGTAGCCTTAGTCTAAAAACACCTATTTTCTATCTCAAAAATCATTACTTGAAAACCTTATTTCTAAGCCTATTTGCACTAAACCATAATTTACCAAATTGTACGATTGTGGGACCTTTTAAGAAAGCTATTTATTATAGCCAAAGAAACGCCTATTTTCTATCTAGGACATCAAAAGACCTTATTTTGAACCCATTTTGCTCTAAAACATAAGGCGGAAAAGCTGTTTTTCTATCAAGAATGTCGCCAAACATTCTTTTTTACCAATTTGGCCAAGAAAAGTAAAGGTGAAGAAATTTCACATTTTAGACGGAGATCATGGACTTACACCTTTGCAAAAATGCAAATTTTGAAACTTTTTAATATGAACGTTTTTGTACTCTAGATAGGCTATTCTTCTATCTTTCTCTATGTTCAACTTTGAAGCCATCCTACAAAAACATTGATATTAGGAAAGTTGCACAATTTGCTTTTTTACAACACGGTTATTCCATGATTTTGGTCACAAATTTCAAGCTTCCTCACCTTGACTTTTCTTATTCATAATCAAATTGATAAAAAAAAGTGTTTAGCGACATTCTTGAAAGAAAAAACATTTCCATGACTACAAAAAAAGCAGATATTAGAAAGCTGAAAAATTTGCATTTTTTTCCAACAAAGGTTATAGTCCATGAATTTCGTCAAAAATTTTTACGTTTCTTCACTTTAAATTTTCTCTTTTAAATTGATCAAAAAGAGTCTTTAGTGACCTTCATGACAAAAAAAATGCTACTCTAGATTTAAAAAACGTGATATTTCAAAGCTGAAATTTTTTTTATTTTCTGAAGGGGTTAGCCCATAAATTTGGTTACCTTGTTTTTTCTCGTTAAAATTGATCAAAAAGAGTACTTGGCGACATTCAGGTGCTAGTCCATGATTTTAGCCAAAAATCTGAAGATTCATAAACTTCACTGTTCTTGGCCTAAATTGACGGGAAAAAGTGTTTACGACGTTTGTTGATAAAAATAACAGCATTTTATTAGCAAGCCGAAAATCTTTATTTTTTGCAAAGTGGTAGGTCTATCATTTTCGTTGAAAATTTGGCATTGAATTCCTATCACTTTTCTCGGCCAAATACATTAAAAGGAGTGTTTGGCGACCTTTTTTATGGAAAAATAGCTTTCCTAGAATACAAAAACATTGATATTAGCAAGTTGCAAAATTTCCATTTTTTGTAAAGGGGTTAGTCAATAATTTTGGTCAATCATTTCAAGTTTCCTCACCTTGTTTTTTCTAGTGCGAATTGAACAAACAGAATGTTTACCGACATTCTTGACACAAAAAACCTTTCCTAGACTACAAACGTTGCTATTTGAAACCTGAAAACCTGGAACCTTGACTTTTTTCTTTTAAATTGACCAAAAAAAACTACAAAACGTTGATATTTGAAAGCTAAAAAATTTCCATTTCTAAAAAACGGGTTAGTGAAAGCATAATTTTGGTCAAAAATTTGAGATTTCTTTACCTTCACTTTATTGATAAGTAAGAAAGTTTGCCAATGTTGAAAAATTTGCATTTCTTCACTTTTCTCGGTTAAATTGATGAAAAAGACTGTTGGCCGTCTTGATACAAAAACCTTTACTAGACTACAAAAACGTTCTTTGAAAGTTAAAAAGTCTGCGTTTTTGGCAAAGGGGTTAGTCCATAACTTTGGTCAAAAATTTCAACTTTGCTTACCTTACCTTTCTGGGTCAAATTGATCAAAAAGAGTGTTTGGCGACACTTTTGACAAAAAAAACAACTTTGCTGACTACTAAAAGGATGATAATTGAAAGTTGAAAAATTTGCATTTATTGCAAAGGGGTTAGTCCATGATTTTGGTCAGAAATTTGAAGTTTCTTTACCTTGACGTTTTTCTTTTAAATTGACCAAAAAATACTACAAAACGTTGATATCTGAAAGCTAAAAAATTTCCATTTTTAAAAAACGGGTTAGTGAATGCATCATTTTGGTCGATAATTTGACATTTCTTTACCTTCACTTTTTTTAACCAAATTAAACAAAAAAGTGTTCGGCAATGTTCTTGATAGACAAAGAGCTTTTCTAGACTAAAAGAACATTGATATTAGAAAATTGCAAAATTTGCATTTTTTTAAAAAAGGAGTTAGTCCATAATTTTGGTCAAAAATTCCAAGTTTCCTTACCTTTCTTTTTTCTGGTACAAATTGCTCAAAAGGAGAGTTTAACGACAGCCTTGACACCAAAAAACCTTTTGTAGACTACGTTAACGATGATAATTAAAAATTGAAAAATTTGAAAAATTTTGCAAAGAGGTTAGTCCATTATTTTGGTTGAAAATTTGACATTGCTTTACCTTCACTTTTCTCGGCTAAGTTGATCAAAAAAAGTGTTTGGCAATATTCTTGATAGAAAAAGAGCTTTTCTAGACTACAAAAACGTTGATCTTAGAAAGTTGCAAAATTGCCATTTTTTGCAAAGGGGTTAGTCAATAATTTTGGTCAAGAATTTTAAGTTTCCTCAGCTTGTTTTTCCTAGTCCAAATTGATCAAAAAGAATGTTTAGCGACATTCTCTATACTAAAAACCTGTTTTTACCCTACAAAAAAATAATAATAATTGGAAGTTAAAAATGTGCATTTTTTTTTTCCATGCTTTTGGTCAAAAATTTAAATTTTCTTTCCCTTCACTTTTCTCGGCCAAATTGATCAAAAGGAATGTTTGGCAATGTTCTTGATAGAAAACGAGCTTTTCTAGACTGAAAAAACATTGATATGAGAAAGTTACAAAATTTGCATTTTTGACAAAGGGGTTAGTTCATACATTTGGTCAAAAATTTAAAGCTTCCTCAACTTCTTTCCTCTGGTTTAAATTGTTCAAAAATAACTTTTAATGACCTTCTTGATACAAAAAACCTTTTCTAGACTACAGATAAGTTGATAATTGGAAGTTGATAATTTTTTGCAAAGGGGTTAGTCGATGATTTTGATCAAAAATTTGAAGTTTCTTTAGCTTCACTTCTCTCGGCCAAATTGCTCAAAAAGAGTGTTTGGCAATGTTCTTAATAGAAAAAGAGCTTTTCTCGACTAGAAAAACGTTGATATTAGAAAGTTGTAAAGTTGCCTTTTTTTGCCAAAAGGGTCAATAAGGGGTCAATAATTTTGGTCAAAAATTTTAAGTTTCTTCACCTTGTTTTTTTTAGTCCAAATTGATCAAAAACAATGTTTAGCGACATTCTCTATACTAAAAACTTGTTTTTACCCTACAAATAAGCTGACAATTAAAAGTTGAAAAATTTTCATTTTTTGGAAAGGGGTTACTCCATGATTTTGGTCAAAACTTTGAAGTTTCTTTACCTTCATTTTTCTCGGCCAAACTGATGAAAAATAATGTTTGGTATTGTTCTTAATAGAAAATGAGCTTTTTTGGACTGAAAAAACATTGATATTAGAAAGTTGCAAAATTTGCATTTTTGACAAAGGGGTTAGTTCATACATTTGGTCAAAAATTTGAAGTTTCCTCACGTTGTTTTTTCTAGTCCAAATTGATAAAGTTGACAATAAGAAGTTAAAAAATTTGCATTTTTTTGGAAAGGGGTTAGTTCATGATTTTGGTTAAAACTTTTAAGTTTCTTTACCCTCACTTTTCTCGGCCAAATTGATCAAAAAGAATCTTCGGCAGTCTTCTTGATAGAAAATAAGCTTTTCTAGACTAAAAAAGTTGCAAAATTGTCATTTTTTACAAAAAAGTGAGTAAATAATTTTGGTCAAAAAATTTGAAGTTTCCTCACCTTGTGTTTTCTGGTTGGAATTGTTCAAAAGGAATGCTTAGAGACTTTCTTGACACAAAAAACCTTTTATACACGACAAATAAGTTGATATTTGGAAGTTGAAAAATTTGCAATTTTTGCAAAGGGGTTAGTCCATAATTTTGATCAAAAATTTTTAGTTTCTTTACCTTCACTTTCCTTGGCAAAATTTTCTACACTACAAATAAGTTGATATTTGGAGGTTGAAAAATTTGCATTTTTTGCAAAGGGGTTAGTCCATAATTTTTGTTAAAAATTTCAAGTTTCTTTACCTTCACTTTTCTTGGTAAAATGTATCAAAAAAATCATTACGGAATCGCGCCTGTAGATACGCGTCGCTAGTAAATGCAAATTTTTCTGTCAATCAAATGTGTCCTATTATTTGTAGGTGGAAATTGGTAAAACATCGTTATTGTTTTGGAGACAATAGAAGAACAAAAGATAACAGAAAGATCAAGTTATGCGGTCTTAAAGCGTGTTGCGTGACTTAAATCAGTTGGAGCATTTCTCCTAGCTTTCCCGCATTAAAACGTTGGAATGAAAAGTCTGAAGCTTAGCTTTTAAAATCTTGATAGCCAAAATAAAAAGGGGTGCCCCAAAAGGCAAGCATTTGGGAATTCAAAATCGATATTTTTGTCTCTAGCGAAATCCGGCGGATGAACAGTAATTTGCATATAAGCGTAAGTGAAGCGAAATAGATACAAATTACCGTGGTTGTAAACACAACGTTTCCTCGAAGTTTTTTTCCTTTTGAAAGCGCAAATTCGCATGAAAGAGCTCAGCTTGCACAAAATAATATAAAATGAAACGAATCAAATCGAAAAGTGGTTAAAAAAAAGTCAGGATATTTCAGTTCGATGGAAAGTAAGTGATTGGGTAGGTGATTTGCATACTGATAAAAATAACGTCTAGCGCAGTTCAAAACCGTTCGGCTTCCTGAATTGTTTT